TTCCCTATTTCTCCCTCTCTCTCTCTCTCTTCTCTATCTCGTTGGTTCGTTGAATATTCAGGACCTTCGCGGTGTCGCCGCGCGGACTGTGCCGCTTTTGCTCCGCCTGGATGGATCGATCGGAGTCGAGTCCGGCGGCGAGCAAATATCGCGAGATCCGCTCTCCGCGTAACGGATCCCTAAATATCGGACATAGAGGAGGCGGCGCGCGAATCCCTGACACATCGACCCGTATTTCGACAGACTCGGAAATTATCCCGCTCGCTTGGCCCGTCGTCTATATCGGGCACCGACTAGCGTCGGACGCAAGCAAGCAGCAGCGGCAACCGGCTCGATCGGATGAAATGTGTGACATGAGCGCGACAACAATAATCGATCCCGTCCGGTTCAATATGTAATTGCGTCCATCTATCGTTTCGCTGATGGAAGACGAGACGAGGGTGAATCGCGTTCGCAAACATGCGTCAATCGGATACATATTCAAGAACGAATTAAAGATAAAGGGAGCCACCGTGATCGACATTTTGTACAAGAAATCTTATATTGGTTGTTTCGATTGTGTCAAAAACGCAAATAAAAGAAATTTTATTACCTTTGTTAGAATTTCAGACGTCCATCGTCTGACTTTAAAAAGCGAGCCGATTTTTTTATCGAGAAACACTCATCTGGAATGAATGATCGACGAGATTGCCTCCGACCAGTCGATATTATCGACGCAAATAGTCCTGGTCGCAAAGATATCAATTTTTCATCTCGATCATAGTTTAGTAACCTTCACACATCTCTCAGAAAAGCCGTTAACCAGATCACACCACTCTCAACAATTCTGTCTTCGCGCCAATCAGTTTACAAATGATTCTCTCCTGTTTGGATTGACACTTCCGTGCCCATCATCATCGAGCCCGCGAGAACATTTGTCGGCGTCGATGGCAGAACTAAAGGACTCGCGATCGATGGTCTCAGTCGCTCGGTGAGCGCCAACATCACTTGGCAATGGAGGTGCTGAATAGTCGCTAGTAGATTGAGGTTCGTGTCGATCAGACCGGTAGCCGGCGAGTATCTCTCCTTCTCGGCGCTCTCCGTTTCCTCGACAAGCGGCGTCACAATGGTCTTGGGCTCCGATATCTCAAACGTCTCCTTTCCCGCATTAGCGGCGGCCTTGCTCTTCTCCGCCTGGAGTAGCCTTTGCTGATGCTTTAAGTACGAGGTCGTGATGGGGAGGCTATAGTCGATGGGCGTGTTCTTGGGATCCAGCCCGGGACTCCAGGGCCTCGGCAACGGCTGGCTGGGTTGAGGCGAGGGCGTACGTCCCTCCGGCAGCATCCGCTTCCTCTTCGACGATGCCGAGCTCCTCGAACTCGCTCGGTCCGACTCCGGCGTCCTTCTCGATTCCGGCAGAGCGTCCGAATTGGCGAGAAAACCACCGTTTGCCGGTTCTTTCTTCAGTAGGTTCGTGATACTCAGCGGATTGTACTTCTCATCCTTGTCCTTTTCGAGTTTATCTGTCGCAGCCACGCCGCTGCTCTTGTGCTGCTTCTGATGCCTATAATTGTGCAAATTCTTCGCCTCTGACGGCGCGTGGTGACTGCTATCGCGCGACTTGGAATTACTCTGCACCGTCGAGGACGACGATAACGACGAGGTCGCGAGAGCGGCGTTGCTACCACCGCGATTCGGGCTCGGAGGGGTTGGCGTCGACGCCAACGTCGTAGCCGTGGATTGCGACTGATTGGATAAGTTCGTTGGACTGGGCGTCCGCGGACGACGTTGGCATTCCGTGCAGCCCAGCAGAAATCGCGTTACCGCTTCTCGGGGTAGAAATGCATACGTTTCTGTAATCTGTAACAGAGAGAAAAAAAAAACGCATTTTTTAGAACGGCTCAGACTTAAAAATATCTACGACTCTCATTTATATAATCGTTCCAATACGTTAATTTTAAAAAGTACCATACTATTATTTTAATTTTAAAAACATTTAAATTTAATTTCTATTGTAATCTAGTTTCAGAACAAGAGATGAGAATAGATCAACTTCTATTGTTGATGCGATCATCATAGATGAAAACACTCTTGCGGGAAAATAATTTTATACAAAGAACTTTAAAATATAATTACAGGTGATCTTCTAAAAACCTCATTGTATGAATTGTATAGGTTTAATAAATCGTTAAGTGATACTGAAAATGCAACAAAGATATCGGCGAGATCTATCGAGATAGCGCGCATTGACCAGATTGCCGTTCTCCGTGTCTAATTTCTCATACATTACTTCGCGACATTGTTACATTCGAACACCGTCGATCAAGCAATTAAGCAATTCCATGCGACTCAAGCATCGCACCCACGTTCGTGCAATAATACGCAATTGCAACATCGTCAATTGACGTATTAATGTTCACGCGAATGGCCTTTCTCGCTTTCATCTCCGCGTATCGTCGTCACGTGGCGTCGTTTTACGCGCGACGCCCACCGGGGAAAATTCACGAGTCGGTATAACGGAACTTTTTGATGTCTTCTGCGAGAGAAGGCGTTCAGCCGGAGGGATGTTCTCCGCCTCTTAATAGGAAACGTTTCTCTCTAAGGAGATGGGAGGAGGGGGTGGCATAACTTAATCAAGGAGGATCCGCCGGAGAGCTGAGAAAACCGACAGAGGTTGATGTGTACGTGCGCGTGTAACTGCACGATTCCAAAGGGGTGGTGATTCGATAAGATTTATCCGAGACTTCACGACGAGGTCGCAGAATGAAAAAAAGGAGCGTTAAAAAAGAGAAAAGGAGAGAAATCGAAACAACGTATTTAGATTGATATGACAACTTATCGCGGTTCGATATTTCGATACTTCGATTTAAACTTGAAAAGTTTGTTGTATCACGATAATCGCAACGTGAAAAGATAAATATATCTAATAATGTAATATATTTCTCTCCATAATGTAAACAATAACATAGTATAGAATATATATGATTTAAAAAATGATAATCGCTTTTAACAAATATCAATTTTTTATTGAAAAATATATTCAAATATATTACAAAGACAAATTATTGTAGATTAATTGTAAATTAAAAAAATGAAATGTTCTTTCTTTATCTTTTTTATCTCTTATCCTTTTTACTTCTAAATAAAAATTTGTGACAACTTTGGTAATAAATATAAACGGATATAAATGAGTCCTGAATATGATTTTAACGATTAAACCTTTAAGCAAAATTCTAGTAAGTTTCGTAGCTTTACACGATATTGTGAGAGGATTGATTTTCAACTTTGAATCGTAATGCAACTCGCATCGTAATGCGTATCGTAATATATGCTGGATAGACGCGCGTTAAAGACGCGAACTGTCAAAGGTGAACTACGGGACTATGTACGGATTGGTCAACTTGCAACCCTCTTATTACGTAATAGCAGCACAACTCGAAATATACCACCCTCAACGCAGCAGCAATAGTGGTGGTATCGAGTTGCGCAACGCGAGCCGTGACATAACGCGGGCTCCTCTGGAGCCGATGAATCCCGCCGCCTAACGCCGACTTGAACGTAAAACAGTTCCACCGTCGCGCAAACGCTCGAGTGTGTGAGTAAGCAGGCAATGCAACAAGTGTCCTGAGGTTTTGAATCACAAGCAGATCGCGGCGTGCGAGAAAGAGAGAGAAAGAGAGCGAGAGAGAAGAGAGAGGATGGAAGAGCGAAGAGTGGGAGATTGGTCGCAGGGGCCGACGTTAAAGGATAGAAAGAGATCACGTGCTGGGGATGCGAGATAGAAAAGGAAAGGCGGAGCAAAAGAACATATATGATATCCCGAAGAGAGGTTTACGCGAATGCACGCCGGAACATGTGAGATGACGTGTGGTATCGAGTGTTCGACGCTTGAACGCCTCGATGCCTTCTTCCTTCGGGAACGGTAAATATCGCGTGTCGCGAGTAACCATGCAAGAATTCATCGCGCTCTGCTGCCGATAGCACTCCAATTCAGAATTCGATCGTTCGCGGATCGATGGATACTTCGATTAGCGCCGAGTCTAATACATGTTGAATTAAACTGACATAAATCGTTTATGCGCAAAGACGAATGTATCGCTGCATTTCTACCTATATCTTTAATTTCAAAGTCGTGTGCATTTTCTTTTTTCACACACGTTATAATCTATATCACTTACATATATTTGACATTTAAAAAATTTCTGTTTTTAAGATAATAAGAGATGCATGCTTTTATATTAAACGTATACGTGTTTTTCCGATGAGAAATATTTTCAAAGATAAATATAAATATAAATTTTCTGAAATTAAAGGTAATTTCTTCTTACCGTTCTATAAGTGCGTTTCTGACCGGCATGCTTCCCAGGACGTCCTTCGAGATCAACGTGAACGGCGTGGATAATGTCGAAGAAGTTCTCTACAATCGCGACTTTCTTGTATACTCTTCCTGGTGGAACTGTACCTTCGGCACCATTTAACGCCTGTAAACACGATAAGATAAAAGAAATTGTATATAATACGTTTTATTATTAGGGGAATAATAAATTTATATATAACATATAATATAAAACATTATTCTATTACTAGTAATAAAACCAGATAAGAAAGACTATGATAGTGCTGTGAAATTAACAAAAGCGGATATAACATATAAACAAGTTATATAAAGTTTATATCAAATTTTGTAAATATATGTATATATCTTTATTTATACGAAAAAGCTCTTTATTCGCAAGAGCTATACTATGTTCAAATGCCATCTAGCATCTGGAGCACAACTTGCAATTTCCCTTCAATTTGCCAGTCGAGAAGCGTGTTCAGTTCATCATTCGTTACCGACGCTGACTCCGACTCTACTTTATCGGCTACTATCATGTTAGAGTTCTCCAAATAGTAATATCTGCTATCGATAAGGTAGATCTCATTCAATATTGTAAATATAAAAAATTACTATTTATAATTGCAATTTTCTCGGCTTTATATATTTGCAAATTTTCTCAAACTGCAAAAAATATATTAAACCGATATAATATATCATAGTCTTTCTTCTATGTCATTAATGTCTTGTGAAAATGAATTTTTATATTTATGCAATTGCAATCGTAAAGTAAAACTTTTCTCGCAAACAATTTATATTCTTACTCATAGAGGATTGATAAAAATATATATGTGAGAATATTACAAGATATATATTTAATATATGTAATAATATATAACGTAGTCTTATGAAAAATAAAATATATATGTCAAACACTGGAATCTTTTCGATTAAATGAGGTTCTAAAATCTTGGAATTTATTTCACGTGACGTCTTTCAAATTAAGTCTTATCGTTGTCCATCTCAAACGCATTAACGAAATTTCTCATTAACCGCGCGAAATTCACTTGTTCATGTTAAGGTTATCCGGACGGGTTGAGAACCGCGGCGTCCCGCGTAATCTTAATTAATCTCGTCCTAAGTACCGGCATCGCCCGCGGGCATGGTCGCGGTCAGATTGTTCCGGCGAACTTTGCGACCTCAAGAAGTTCGGCGCGCATGCGCGACATTATTGTATTTCCCTAAACACCTGTTGAAGGGTAAAGTTGAACTCGTGGAGTTTAGTGCTCGGGCTAAGTGGCTGTGGTCAAGCGGGATAACAATAGCGATGCGTAGCTGATCATATTCGCAAAGCGAGCGGTTTTTCGAGAAAAAAAATTCCGCTTGTATGAATTAATAATATCGCCCAAAATATTAAGTACGCATGTCATCATAGATATAATAATGTAATTCATTATTTAAACGATCTTCGATTACAAAAGAATTTATTAACTGCCTTGAATTGAGTTTATGCTTTGATAAAAATTGGGGGAGTGAGCATATATGACACAGAATGAAAATGGATCAATAGAAATTAGATGACACTAACGTTATCTTGATTATATGTCACGAATACACATATGTGAGCATTTATTGGAAAATTCGTAAGTAGAGTTAAACAGACCGGAAACTGTCTTGTATTGGCAAATATATGTCTAGTCTAAATGCGATATTTCGCCGCTTTCTTATGAACATCATCATGCAATGCATTAAAAAAGTCGAATAGAAACGAAATACTATTCTAAAATATAATTTTTAAATCGCCTGTCTCTTTCATAAAAAAATCCGAAATTGTCAGCCTTTTCGCTGTATTATTTAAAGCACATTGGTAACATCTGTCGTCATGAAATGCCCATGAAAGTCATTAATCCTCCCATATTTTGAAAAATAGAATCTTTGTACGATACCGATAATTTTCATATTATAGCATCAATCTATTTTAAATTAAAGAATAATTTTAAAATTAATAAAGTTATTATATATATAATATTCACATGCACACATATATAACTTTCAGATACGATGAACACTAAGTGCATCAGAGGGTTGAAACGCGGAAGTGCGTACACGCATACGATAGGCGCCCACCAAAGGGGCTCAAAGGACTATCCGGGATAAATTTAGCCTTTTATCCGAGCTGCCCTCCGTACTGCTTCGCGTTACATAGTCAAGCTAAGCATCTCATCCTACCTTTGCTCATGACGTATATATGTACTTCAATGATTTAGACTTCATCTAATGTATTAATGTCCATTGAATCAACATCCTCTTCAGTTAAAGAAACATAGAACTGGCTTTATCGGCTTTGTCAAGTCAACAGAAAAGATCTTACTTGCTTACGTCATGAATGTCTTTGTCGGAATAAAAGCCTTCACAGATCGATCTGTGTGAGATTAGCCCTATATTTTCAAGATAGATGTATTCTGACAGGCTTTTTGTATTTTAAAAATATGGAGCTGATTTTTTACAAAAATCAGAGACCTGCGTTCATCTTAATGATAAATGACCGTTTGATGGTTAATCTTTTTTGCGAAGATTATGATCAAGATCACGAAAAATTGTGAAATTGTAATTAGAGCTATAATACGGACTATTTTTTCCGAAGAAAGCACAATCATAGAAAAGAATAACGAATAAGGAGAACTTGACACATGATATAGATTCAAAATCTAAAATGTTAAAAAAGTCGGACTTAACGAAAAAGAATGCAATTTCTTTTATCTGATAGAAAAGAATTTCAAAAAAAGACTGCATAATTACATCGTGCAAGATGTAAAATATCTGACACAACTAATTTATTCTGCGCTACACTTATACTCGCGCATATAAAGAGACGATGCGGTAGAAAAATGTTCGCGCTGCAAAAATTAGAGAATAATTGGAAAACTTCAGCAAATATCTGCTTTCAATGTTAAATTAAGTAACAAAATTATATTATTACAGGTGAAATAAAAGTTCCATTATTATCTACTATCTATATGCTAGTATTTAAATTTTAACTCTTTTATTTGATGATTCCGATGAATCCATTAAGCTACATAAAATTACAAATCTATGTAATTTTATGAAAAAGAAAATTTAATCAAGTTGAAAATTTAACAAAATAAAAAGTAAAGATCTTGAATTTACAGTTCAAGTCACGGCATCTGTTTATGATTAAGATTAAACCAAAATAATTTCGATCACAGTTGCTGTTCTAGTATAGTCATTGATTTTAATCGAATAACTCGTCAAAAAAAAAAAGATCGGAAAGATCGGCAACGAGCGATACAGTGGAGAAAAAACACGTCGCGGAGATGCTCCTCCACGAGACGGTCCAGAATAGAAAGGCGTCAGCGGCGCCATAAATCCCTATGAGACGCACAAGACTCGGCGGGGCCAAGTTCGTCGGCGGCATAGCGCGAACGGGCGCAACGAAAATCCGGGTATAGCGGCTGTTTTTAAAGCCCCCGCGGACCGCGAGCGAGTTTGCATTTTAAACGAACGCGAACGCGAACGTTGCCGGCGCGGCAGCGCAATGCCGAGGGGAGAAAACAGCGCGACACGGCAACCGGCGAAGCGGATTAAAAAAATTCACGAGGGAGTCGCGCCGCCCGGCGTCGGGACGCCGCGAATCTCGTGCGCGGGCGGGAGAGAGCATTCATGTACCGGGTGATCCGCGGAAAATCGCTTCCTCTTCCGGCGCGGATAACGGATGCAGCGAGAGCACTCGGCACGAAAAGAGGCATCCGAGGAAGAGAGCTCGGAACGGCCGTGTCGTCTCTCACCGCCGAGTACTTTCAAATGTTTCCGTTCTCGAGATATCAACGAGCTATCTAAATGCTTGAAAGTTTTCCGCGAACTCCGTTTTCACCGACGAATGCGTCGTTTGCGGACTATCGTGAGAAACAGAGAAAGTTTAATTGCAATTTTTAAAATATATTATATTTGGCATTATATATATAATCTAGTTTGTATAATTTACAATGCTTATAGATGATTCTAAAATTCATTTTTATTGCGATATTTAATTAAATTTATTGCAATTTTATTTAATCTTTCTTTCATATCGCAATAACAAAAGATTTGAAACGAGAGGAATGATCTTCAGGACGTTACCGCTTTCTTCAGCGATATATAGAAATTAGAAATGTCTTCGCAATATAACTGCTCGCTACTTATACGATAATTTGGCTGGATCGCGAAAGGATCGCGATCGTTGCCAGCGGCTGTAAAACACGATCCGCGAGTTTAGTCTCGCTCGGAGAGCGCGTATCAATGAGCCGAGGACGACCGCTCTGCGCTAGTCTCGGCTATTCAAACAGTACCGAAGTGGTGTCGTAATAACGTTGCATAATAATGATACTAGGAAGCAGCGGGAAAGTAGCACGGCATCGTGTATGCGCGCGCGGTCAGGGGAGAACGACCGTTAAATATTCTCTCAACGAGGTCGGATTACCTCCATTTCACCCGGCAAGTGGCGATGATAACGACAATGGCAATATGACGATCCGAGCAGGCAAGCAAACAGACAGGCCTAACCGTGGTACCGAGAAGTCCTGGCGCAATAATCGCCGAGCTTAGGATATCAGCCCTCGTCGGGATCGTTTCTTCGACGCGCTGGAGCCCGGGAGGCGTGTGATTGGGTTAGTTTTGGTTTGTTGGGACGGGACACGGTCGAGACCGGGCCACCCAGTAGCCATTTAGATAAACGAGCGGCCCCTGTTGAGTGCCGCAGGATGCCAGCGCCGGAGAGAGAATCCGGAGAAGAGGAATGGGAGGATGAGATAGAGAGAGAAAGGGAGACGATCGTGTTAACAGCAGAGATAGAGACTTGCGAGAAGAAAAGCTTTGGTTTGAACCGCGGTCATACCTGGTATCAGAGGAGAAAAAGTATTCGGGATCGGATGACGGAACAAAGAGACGTGACGAGACACACCCCGGTGGTTCGCTCGGGTCGCCTTCTCGCCGGAAGGAGAGAATCGAATTTCTTCCGGCATTTTTCCATATTGTAGTGATTGTGAAATTTTCGATTAACAGTTAAATAAGGAAATTATGCGCGCATTTGCGTTGAAAAATTATTATAATTATTATTAATTATATATTCTTCTTCTTATAACTGCAAGATTTTTTAAATAACGTGAA